TATCCTTCCCTTCAAGGCTCAGGGGTCCAAGATTGTCTTCTGTGTCTGTGTTAACTGGTTTCCCTTTTCTTTGTTGAAGAAGGTCTATGCAGTCCTTCTGCCTAGTCCGCCATCTTGCCGGAACTCCCATTCAACAATTTTTACATGTACAGTTCACTGACAGTGGTTACACATGTCCCATTGTGTCCCATTCTCCCTCACTGTGCCCTTACTCTTTCACCACCATTAATGTAGGCTCCACCCCTTCATGTTCTCATTGGTGTTTAGTTATTATTGACAATCTAATCTCAATTAGGTGATTCTTTAAAAGAGCATAATGCTCAAGGCGAACATTCTTTATTAGCTAAATTTTGTTTCCTTGAATTTAATATTTTGTATAGCTAATATATCCACATGGTTTTAAATTGTTTAATATAAAATGTTTTGTATTTTTAATATAAAAAAGTTATGCAACAACAACAAAAATCTCTCCTTGACTGTCTCCATCTGCTTAATTTCCTCTCTACCCCTCTAAGAGAAAACAGAGAGAGCCATTGTTACTGATTTATCTTTCCTTCCAGATCTTATCTTATATATATCTTGATGTAGAAATAAAAACAGACTCTCTTTCTCCTCTCATGCAAAGGCTTGTTAGCAGATATACTTTTCATATGTCTGCACCATTTTTTGATACTTAATATAGCTAGACAATTCCTAACCCCTCTTCACAGATCACCACTGTCATTTTCTCCTGCCTCCTCACAGACTTGGTCTCTTTATATATAAGCAAACATGAAAAATGTCTTATTTTTATACCTTTTTACACAAAGGTGGAAGAGTACACAGTGCAAATTAAGCACTGCATTAAGCTGTTCTGTTTCTTGCTCTTTTCGGTTGTGTGTATATATATATATATATATATATATATATATATAAAATCAAAGACCTTTCTATGTTAGTACATAGAGTGCTTCCTTGTTCCTCATTTTTGGAGCTGCATAGTATTTCACTAGATAGATGTAGTATTGTTGTTGTTGTTATGTGCTGTTGAATCAGACACAACTCATAGCGACCCCTCCTTGCGTTTCCAAGGCAGTATCACTACAGAAGTGAAGGAATGCTCGACCTTCCTTCCGAGGAGTGGCTGGTGGGTTTGAACCGCCAGGCTTCTGGTTAGCAGTCAAGTTCCTTAGGCACTATGCTACCAGAGCTCCTAGATGTACTGTAGTGTATTTAATCAGTCCTCTGTAAATGACCACTTGGGTTATTCCTAAGTTTCCTTTTGTAATAGACCCATCTAAGTCTTTCTCCTCACCCTTAATTCCTGTAGATGAGGAGATGTTGGAGTGTGTTCTTGATGTTTGCACATCTGTGTTAAGGGTCTTTTCTTCTTGCAGGAAAGGAAGACATTGGGGAGCTTCCCATATAAACGTATCTTAAGAAGACGCAAGAGAGAGTGGGTGGCCCCACCAATTTATGTCCCTGAGAATGGCAAGGGTCCCTTTCCCCAGAGGCTATATCAGGTATGACTATCCCTTCTTCCAGGGAATCATTGATGGCTTCAGGGACCATGTTCAGAGGCTGAATATGTAGTTGCTTACCCTTGGGTCTGCAGAGGGATAACTCTGTCGTGGGCAGAGAGCCTGATAAGATGATACTGAGGTTTCTACCATTACAGAGTGTTCTTTACTACAATTGTGAGACATTTGTCACTTTGTCAGTTGCTACTTTCTTTTGCTTCCAGCTCAAATCTAATAATGACAGAGGCACCAAGATTTTCTACAGCATCACAGGGCCTGGGGCTGATAGCCCTCCCGAGGGTGTCTTTACCATAGAGAAGGAGAATGGCTGGTTGTTGTTGAGTAAGCCACTGGACCGAGAGAAGATTGCCAAGTATGAGGCAAGTAGTCTTTAGCATCCAGTGTAAATTAGGGGACAAGAAGCAGAGCCCTAGTAGGGAGTGGAGAGGGTAGCCATGCTAATCCCAGACCTGTGCACCCACAGCTCTTTGGCCATGCTGTGTCTGAGAACGGTGCCTCCGTGGAGGAGCCCATGAACATCTCCATCATTGTGACAGACCAGAATGATCATAAGCCCAAGTTCACCCAGGATGTTTTCAGAGGGAGCGTCTTGGAGGGAGCACTGCCAGGTCAGAGGATTGAGGAGGGGACAGCTGTGGGTCTCCTGGGCCCAGACCTGACCTTGGATTAAATTTTGGAACCATCTAGAGTGACCTTAAAGGCTGGGAGACCTCTCTGCACCTGATTTCCTTGGTTGTATATCAGATCACCTGGGGTCTTTGTAAGCATCCAGATTCCCCTACTCCATCTCAAGATTCGTGAACCAGAATGGTCTTGGGGCAGAGCCCTGGAATCTCTATATTAACTAGGAATCTCTGACACAGAGGAGCAGATGAGTCCAAGCTGGTGGGTAGGGTGGAACCTCTCTGAGTTCCAAAGTGGATAGGGCTGGACTCACTCACCCCTTCTCCTTCTAGGCACTCCTGTGATGCAGGTGACAGCTACAGATGAGGACGATGCCATCAACACCTACAATGGGGTGATTGCTTACTCCATCCATAACCAAGAGCCAAAGGACCCACATGATCTCATGTTTACCATCCACCGAAGCACAGGCACCATCAACGTTGTCTCCAGTGGCTTGGACCGGGAAGTGAGTGGTCCTGAGAGGCCTGCCTAGGCTTGCTGGGTTGGGGCCCGGCACTCAGAGCAGAAACCCACGTCCCTGCCCTCAAAGCCCACGGAAGAGAATTGGGGACCCAAATCAGCTGGGGATGGCTGCTGCTGTGTCCATGTGCTGATGTCCCACAGCTCCCTTGGGCTGATGGTCTGCTGCCAAACAGTCTCGTTAAATGTCCTCCGAGACTGAGGAGGCAGCTGTAAAATGCACACGTTTGGTATTTTTTGTAGGTTTTCTCATTTCCTCTTAGAATGGCTCACTTAACATGCACACTGCCCGAATTTGTCCCTTGTGTGCTACAAAGTAGAATTAGCTCCATGGATATTACAGTTGTCTCTTGTTTCCTAATTAGTACCTTTGCCCAAATTCCTACTTTTAGTTCCTGTTCCGGACTAACCAGGGGCTGGGGTTCCCCAGGACGGGCCCAGGAGAACTGTTTGTACCTGCATTCCCCACCCCATACCCTGCTTAGGTTCTTCTGTTCTCTCTGGCACTGGGGAGGGAGTAGGACAAGGAGCCAAGAGAGCCTTGAGAGCAGGGATGTGAGAAACACTCCCTCACATCCAAGGCTTGCCTGGTGGAGCCCAGGCGAAGGTGCTCCTCAGACTGAACTTGCAGTGGCTTCTGCTCTGCTCTTTCTCCCAGAGGGTACCTGAGTACACACTGACCATTCAGGCCGCAGACATGAATGGAGATGGCTCCACCACCACGGCAGTGGCAGTGGTGGAAATCCTTGATGCCAATGATCACGCACCCATGTTTGAGCCTCAGGAGGTAACATCCCTTCCTTCTTCCCTATCAAATCCTGAAGGGCCAGGGGAAAGGAAGACAATGCTTACAGGACCCTGGGCTTCTATTAAGGGTGACAGAAAAATTCAGGATAGTGATGGTTGAACAACATGATGAACATGTTTAATGTCATTGAAATGTATATGTGAAGATTGTGGAGATGACCAATATTTTGTTACCTATATATTTACCACAATTAAAAAAAAAAAAAAGGAAGCAGAGAACATACAATTTTTTTTTTTTTTTTTAAAGGATTAAGCCTTAAAAACTCTACGGGGGTCGCTATGAGTTGGAATCAACTCAATGGCCGTGGGTTTGGTTTTTTTTTTTTTTAATATAGTTTATAGTTTAATGTAACACTGATACAGTATCAGCATAATACTTGTCCATTGTCTGTCCCTATACAATTTATTTTCATACAGCAAATTTATACTGATAAAAAACAGATTTGCAATTTTTAAAGGCTGAAATATATAAGAAATGTATTTTTAGGTTAAAAAAAGAAATAAAGGACAAAAGGTCTTTTTTCCTAAGGAAACTCTGGAACCAGCCCCACATTTACTAGTTGTGTGATCTGAGGCAAGCTGCTTTAACCTCTCTAGCTCCATTTCTTAATCTGTGAAATGGAGACCATTACTGTTCTCACTTCTAAATGAGGTCATCTGTGTAAAGTTCTTAACACAATGTCTGATACATAATAAATACGCTATATAAAAATTTTTTGTTGATATGAAAACTTCCTTTTCACCTTGCTTGCCTTGGTGGTGTAGTGCCTAAGGTATTTGACTGCTAACCAGGATGGCAGTTCATACCCACCAGCCACTCCTTGGAAGGAAGATTGGGCAATCTATTTCTGTAGTGACACTGCCTTGGAAACCCAAGGAGGGGTGGCTCTGAGTTGGATCCGACTCCTCAATGGCAGTGAGGTTTTTTTTTTCCTTCCTCAGTTAATGCTTTTGTACCTCCAGTGACAGAGGACCCAGTGCTATTCAAGGTTGCCCCCTCCTGGCTTTAGATGGCTCTGGCTGCTGAACATTTCTCCATTATGTTTCAGCCTCATTAAAATTTAATGCCCTTGGCACCTGTCCCAGAACCCACCAAAGAATTCCCGGTCAGTGCCCCAGGGCATTCAGGCACTTTCTTGCCACCCTCCTTTACACATTTCTCATGTATGGCAGGTGGGTGGGTACACATGGCAGGGTCTCACGCAGCCAGACCACAGAGATCCCTCTGCATGTGTCAGACCCTGGCTGAAGGCCAGGCAGGCCCCAAATTGGTCTGGGCTGACCAGAGCTATGAGGCTGGTACTTGTGATATTCTGCACTTGGTGTATGCCCTGAAAACCTGAGAAACGGGTTGGGTGGTCCAGGAGCTGGTGAGGGGCTAGGGCTCCCTGGAATTGGATGAAAAGTCACAGCTACAAAGGGTGGCACAGTCTCCGGGTGGTCTCTCAGCTCTGAGTGTATTGTGCTTCCCCCATTGACAGTATGAGGCCCAGGTGCCTGAAAACGCAGTGGGCCATGAGGTGCAGCGGCTGACAGTGACTGATTTGGACATCCCCAACTCGCCAGCATGGCATGCCACCTACCACATTGTGGGAGGTGATGAGGGGGACCATTTTACCATCACCACCCACCCTGAGAGCAACCAGGGTATCCTGACAACCAGGAAGGTGAGTCAGCTTTGGCTTTGACAAGGGTCACTTCTAGGGAAGTTAGTCTGCAGCTTCCAGTACTAGAAGGCCACACCTGCCCTAAATGCAGGAAGAACTACATGGCCACCTGCCCCAAACCATTCACCAGGTGGTACACCAGGTCAGTGGCTTCCAGCAATGTCCTGGTCTCTTTTATATGGGGATCCCTTTGTTCAAACTAAATCTTTTTTTTTACTTTTTTTTTTTTTTAAATATTGTGATTTGGGTGAAGATTTACAGAGCAAATTCACTTTCCATACAGCAGTTCACATACACTTTGTCTCATGTCATTGACCACAGTTTACCACAATGCAACAGGTCCCCTCCCACTTCCTCCCCATAATTACCTCTTCCCAGTGTCCATCCGTCCATACTCTCCTGCCCCCTGATGTTCAAACTAAATCTTACGTAAGCCCTCAATTCATGAACAGGTAAGAGTTGCTGATCTAATTGAAGTTGACCAGTTCTGTCCTTCCTCCTAGATCCCAGTGTCCAGCAGTTGCCCCCAGTCAGTCCTCTCACAAGGATGGTCTCCCAGCTGCAAAAGTTAACCTGTTTTGTTTGAAGTCACGCTTCTTTTGCATTTACCCCATAACACGTATTTCAGTGTTTGAACAGTAAAATCTCTAAGATTACTTAGTAGGCAGGTATAACCTTGTCTCTCAAAAAGCTTTTGAATAAAATTAATGCTTCAGGAAGATGAGCCTTATGTCTCTTGGATTGCTCTTGCCTCCTGGTTTATTATAAAGATTGCCCCTCTTTGAGAAGCAGCATTTTACTCAATACTTTTAAGACTCTTCTCACCCTTTCCAGAGGATTCAGTGTCCTCTTTCTGCAACAAATGGTGAGGCCTCTTTTACATTCTGAAATGAATTTACTTATAATATAACTTACCCAATCCATAAAATTTCTGAAAAAATAGAATGCCCTAACTGTAAAATAAAGGAGAGATTTATAGCAAAGTTACTGATAATGAAATATTTCAGTATGTAAACCTTTGGGCACAACTAGACTCAAGAACATAATGAAGTGGTGAGTTCCTTGCAGCTATTCATAGATTCACCTGAATGCAGTGGATACAGTAGGTCGCCCTGGTGGTTCAGATATTCAAGTGGTATTGATGTCACTGTGGTGACTTGCCAGCACAGCGAATAAACAACTTTTGAGAAAGTCCTGAGCAAATTCAAAGCACAAGCTCCCCTCAGAAGCTGGATTCACTACATGTTCAAATCACACCAAAAACTTGGCTTATATGTAAAATACATTCTTGTTAGGTACCACCTTCATAATTATTGCTGTGTTTGAGCCCATTGTTGCAGCTACTGCATCAATCCATCTAACTAAGGGGATTCCACTTTTTCACTGACCTGCGATAAAACGTATTCTAGACTCCAATTATAAACAGGTTTTCATACCTATAAATGTCTGAGGGGATATTGGAAAGTCACACGGGACATGGGACAGTAATATTGTAGTGCATGGCATCCCTGCCCTGGCCTGTAAGTACCAGTTGTACCCCCAATCGTTATGACAACTAGAAATACCTCCATAAGTTTCTAAAATACCCCCTAGTGGCTGTCACCACCCCACTGGGGACCAGTGCTCTAGAACTTACTAGTCAAATTGCTTTTAGGATATTCTGAGAGACCCCACTGGCTGCCTACTCATAAAACACAAGAGGTGTTAGAGGAGAGGAGGGCAGCATTGTTGCTGATGGGGGTCTCATACCCTCACTCCTTCCCTCTAACGTCACTGCACTGCTTGGGGTCTCCTCCCAAAATGGTGGCTCAAGTGTTTCTTCCTCTTTCCTCCTAGGGCTTGGATTTTGAGGCCAAAAACCAGTATACCCTGTACGTTGAAGTGACCAATGAGAGTCCTTTTGTGGTGAAGCTCTCGACTTCCACAGCCACCATAGTGGTCCACGTGGAGGATGTGAATGAGCCACCCGTGTTTGTCCCACCCTCCAATGTCATCGAGGTCCAGGAGGGCATCCCTGCTGGGGAGCCCGTCTGCACCTACACTGCACAGGACCCTGACACGGAGAATCAGAAGATCAGGTACTCAGGAGCTGGACTCCAATTCTGGTGCCAGATGCACCAGAACCGTTGGGTGTGCTGTTTATTATGGCCAGCATTTGTTCTGACCATCATGAAGACTATTCAGTATTTGGAATACCACCCCTGCATGGAACCTCTCCTTCCTGGCATTTCCCCTCCCTCTTTGCAGGGCCGCCCCCCTGTTGCTTTAGGTTCCCATTCATAGGTGAGATGCATTTTCCATGGGCTCCTACTCAGGAAGCCAGATGGCCTGATAACCTTTGCCAGTTGACATGAGAAGGCTTTGAATGATGTCACCAAAATGAATGATAAGTCTGGATGTGACTTTCTCGCCTTCTCTTCTTCAGCTACCACATTCTGAGAGACCCAGCAGGGTGGCTGGCAATGGACCCAGACAGTGGGCAGGTCACTGCTGTGGGTGTCTTAGACCGCGAGGATGAGCAATTTGTGAAGAACAATATCTACGAAGTCATGATCTTGGCCACGGATGATGGTAAGAGCTTCCTCTCAGCCCTTCCTCGTGGAGCACCTTTGGTTCCTTGGTGGCATGAAACAGCCTGTCTCCCTCTCCCCCACAAGTAGAGTATGATGTGAGGAAGGGATGTCACCAAACCACTCTGGAGAGTCAAAGGGATCTTTCAGAGAAGCATTTAATGACTGCTCCTAGGGTGGCTGCCTATGATTCAGAATCTCTAAAATTCTGAGAGTTAAGAGGTATCATCCTAAGGGCTCCCTTCAGCCTAAATTTGTAGTTCACTGAGCCCTGAACCTGAACTGGCCTGTCATTTCCCCCTTGTGATTGATTGATAGGGACTGCCTAGATCAATGTCTTGAGTAAGATTTTAAGAATGCACTGGGAACACTGGGAAAGTATCGTGATTGACTAGTGATGGCACACCCTATAGGACTGGGGCTTATGATGGGATTACCATCTCTGGTTTGATACCTAGTCAGCCAGGGCCTAGAAGCAGTTGAGAAATTACAGCAGGGCTGTGAAGGGAAGCATCCCAGAAACTGATTGGCAAACACTAGATTAGCCCCAAAATTGTCAGTAGGTTTCCCCTCGTGACAGATTGGTAGTGGCTATCTGGATACACTGCTCGGGTAACCTAACATTGATTCATCAGGCCAACCAAGGGCAGATGCCGAAAAGCAATCATTTGTGTAATTATGAACAGGGAGTCCTCCTACCACTGGCACAGGAATGCTCCTGCTAACGCTTATCGATGTCAATGACCATGGTCCAGTCCCTGAGCCCCGACAGATCAAGATCTGCAACCAGAACCCTGTGCCCCAAGTGCTGAACATCACAGACAAGGACCTGTACCCCCACACCTCCCCTTTCCAGGCCCAGCTCACCCACGACTCAGACATGCACTGGATGGCAGAAGTCAATGAGAAAGGTAACTGAATGGCAGTGGCAGGTGGGTGACAGCTCTGCTGGGATGGTGTTTGTCCTCTACCAGGACCCTGCCCCAGCATCTTGTGGGTCACAGGTAACCATCTCCTCAAGAATCAGAATCAAAGGTCATTCATTAACCTCGTGTAACCCTTTGGAATTCCCCAGGGGCCCTTAGAGACCATTCTGGCCCAGCCACCTTCGTTGTTCAGGTGGAAGAACTGAGAGGGAGTGACTCACCCAGTATCACATAGTGAGAGTCAGGGGCAGCAGTGGTTGACTGGCAGAATTCTTGCCTTCCATGCAGAAGATTAGATCAGTTCCCAGCCAATGAACTTCTTGTGTAGCCACTACTTGTCTTGTCAGCAGAGGCTTACATGTTGCTGTGATGCTAAACAGGTTTCAGTGGAGCTTCCAGACTAAAATGGACCGGGAAGAAAAGTCTAGTGACCTATTTCTGAAAATCAGCCAGGGAAAACCCTCTGGATCCCAACGGTCCAATCCACAACCAGTCACGGGGATGGTGCAGGTCTGGGCAGCTTTTTGTTCTGTTGTATGTGGAGTCACCGTGAGTCAGGAGCCAACTTAATGGCAGTTAACAACAGTAATGGCTAACACACACTGAGCATGCTTACTGCATGCTAGACACTGCTTCAAATGCTCCAGAAATTAGATTCCTTAATCCTCACAATGGGAGCTCTGGTAGCATAGTGCCTAAGGCACTTGACTGCTAACCAGAAGGCTGGCGGTTCAAACCCACCAGCCATTCCTCGGAAGGAAGGTTGGGCAATCCTACTTCCGTAGTGATACTGCCTCAGAAACCCAAGGAGGGGTCGCTATGAGTCGGGGCCGACTCAACGGCAAATAACAACAACAATCCTCACAACGGCCTTTTGAAGAAGAGACTATTGTTACACATACATGCATTTTACAGAAGAGGAAACGGGTTCACAGATGCTTAAAGAGCTTGTCAGAGGTATCATGGCTAGAAAATGGTGGTGCCAGATTTGGTCTGGTTTACCATGATGCTCTGCTGCCTACCATTTATTTAACCCTGGTGATAAGCAAGATGCTTTTTTCGTTATTTGATATTTCTGCCACCTTCTGTGCAACAGTGGCCCCAAGCATAGCATTGATTGGGAGGATGGCACAGGACTGCAGTGTTTTGTTCCATTGCACTTGGGGTCACTGTGAGTTGGGAGCAGCTTGGTGGCACCTAACAGCAGCACCACCCTCTCAGTATTTTTGTCCTCATTTACAGAGGACACAGAATGGTTAAGTTGTGGAGCAGAAACTGAAGCCAGGCTTTGGCTCCAGAGCCACTGTCCCCGCTTTCTCCCTCTGCCTCCCTGTCCTGCCTCCTTCTCATCACCAGCTCTGAGGTGGTCAGCTTTCAGTGGGTTTATACAGTTGTCACAAGGACTGGAGGAGAGGTCCTATTGGCATCTCATGGTGCATAGGAAAGGTAGGTGCAGCCCCAGGTGCCTAAAAGGCTCCTGGAGAAACTACATCACTGTGGTTTAAAGTGCTGCCCCTTCCTCTTAGGGCTCCAGTCTCCCAGAAGAGAAGTGGGGAACCACTACATTCAGGCTCTGCCCCTCGTCAAAATACCCAATTAGCACTGTCATTTCCAACAGCAATCCCAGATCTGGCTCCATGGAAGTGTGAGAGCTGTGGCCAAACCCTGATGGTACCAGTGCCTGCTAATAGTATCAATACCCAGTTCTTGGTTCTAATTTAGTTTTTCTATCTCACTTTGTTCCTGTTGTCAGAAGAATTAACCCAAACTCCACCCCATGTGACACTGGGCTAGTTATTTAACCTCCCTGCACCTCAATTTCTGCATTGTAAAATGAAAATAATAATAGTAACTACCTCTTAAAGGTGCGATGAGGATTAGAGTAAGTCCTGGTCCATAGTAAGCATCATTTTGGCCTCCATCATCATCATCATCATCATCATCATCATCAACTGAGAAATCAGTCCACCAGCCTAGGAGCAGGTGATGGTAGGCATGGTGATGTACCCTGAGGTGGCCTGTCTGCATGGTGGACCAAATAATCAGTCTGCAGAACTATCTCTCTCTGCAGTTGCTGAATAGGAACAGGGTAAATTCTCCTTTTGGGTCTTTTTATTAAGAGGGGGCCAGTGAATGTGTAGAGCCCTTAAGCTGAAAATGCCTTGAGGTCAGTGTGAGATCTACAGGCAAGCCTGGGAGGGTTGGTGGGTTAGAAATGTGAGGGTTGCTTGTGATTAACCCTGTGATTAGAGGTCACTATGGGCATTCAGTGGTAGGGACCTACAAGGCTTAGGAAAGTTCTTTATGATAAAATATAGTTTTGCCCAAGTCTACAGCTCCTCCTTGAGAAATTTGGGTCTAAACTGAAGGGTGCCTTGTGCAGATCTTTCTTCAAAGAGACCCCTGACCCGTAACAATACTCCCCCCAACACACACATACTCTAGGACTACCACACAGTCTCCCAGTGGTGGGGCCTATTGTGTGGGCCACACTGAGGCTTGGCTTCTGCTCTGTACTTAGCCAAAACCTGCCACTCACCTTGGGCCTTTGAAGGCTAGTTAGACCAATGCCTATTTCTGGTTTCTCTGAATTTTGTGTGCAGTCACTAATTTTGTGATACTACAGGTTAATATCCTCTCTGATCCTCTTTGATCACATCAGTTATCTAAATAAGGCATGTGTAACTTGGATGCATTAATAACTGAATACTCATTTTGAAATATGAGTTTCATATATTGAATTCTATCATACATTGGAGATATAAAGTTTTTTATTGCAAAAACAAGATGCTACAATCATATATAGTAGTAAACCTTAAAGCAGTGAAGTGCAAAAATAAGTGGCTAGTTAATAGGAATATAAGAGAGTGAGTAACTAGATCTCTTAGGAAGAATATATTTAATTAATTAAATTTAAAAACAAAACCTTTTTATTGTGATTTGGGTGAAAGTTCACAGAGCAAATTGGTTTTCCATTCATAACATATTCTTTTAGAAGCAACGACAGTTAGCAGTTGATAGTGCTGAGAAATTATTGCTCCTGTATGACATCACTTTTAAACCTTAATATTTAAAAAATACTGTGATTTTTTTTCCAATAAATTTACTAATTTATTCTTTTATCCCAGTAAATAATCCTTTCCATGATAGCAGATTTGGCTTTGACCAAATATCAATTCTTAGCACTTGGCCTATCTAAGTCTATCTTGGGAATATTGCTCCCCATTGCCCAGATGCAGGGCTGTCTCCTCAAACCTTCAACATGGTATACTCACATATGGTGTCCCAAGACCGATAAATCCTCTGTCCACCCCAGGAGACACAGTGGCCTTGTCCCTGAAGAAGTTCCTAAAGCAAGACACATATGACGTGCACCTTTCTCTGTCTGACCACGGCAATAAGGAACAGCTCACAGTGATCAGAGCCACCGTGTGTGACTGTAATGGCCACGTGGGAACCTGCCCTGAACCCTGGAAGGGGGGTTTCGTCCTCCCCATCCTGGGGGCTGTCCTGGCTCTGCTGTGTGAGTACTGGGATGGGGTCATTAAAAGAGCCGATTCTATGCTGAACTTATGGGATAAGGGGCCAGCAACATTGTGTATCTCCTTGAGGTCTTAATTCTCGTAGCATCCATCAGTCAGTAGATATTTATGGAGCTTCTGAAATGTGCAGGCTTTGGGGAAACAGTGGTGAGCAAACAGACTTGGCCCTGCCAACATAGAGTCAAGAGGCTAGGGCAGTAGTTCTGATGTGTGGCCTTTAGCCCAGCAGCATTGGCATTACCCAGAATTTGTTAGAAAAGCAAATTACTAGGCCTCACTTTAGCTCTAGGAGCTCTGGTAGCATAGTGGTTAAGGGATTTGACTGCTAACCAGAAGGCTGGCAGTTCAAATCCACCAGCCACTCCTCAGAAGGAAGGTTGAGTAATCTACTTCTGTAGTGATATCACCTTGGAAACCCAAGGAGGGGTCACTATGAGTTGGAGCCGACTCAATGGCAGTGGGTGGGTACTTCAGATCTATTGATTCAGAAGCTTGGAGATGGGAGTCTAGCAATCTGTGTTTTAACAAGCCCTCCAGGGGACTTTGAGGTAGCTAGAATTTGAGAACCACTAGTGTAGTGGGCAGAGCTGTTTAATTAAAATTAAAGTTTTGCTGTAAAGGTAGAACCTATCACAGTTGCTTTTTTTTACTCCGTAACTTGGTCCTTGCACAGAAAACATACATTTGAACAGATAAGACTACAACAAGGGCAAACTTTAATTCACTCAATATACTTACTGAGCCTGGGTGGCGTAAATTGTTAAGCATTCAGCTACTAACTGAAAGGTTGGTGGTTTGAATCTACCCGGAGGTGTTTTGGAAGAAAGGCCTGCTGATCAGTGTTCTGGTTCCCTAGTGCCACTCTGACAGGAATATATACCACAAATGGGATGGCCTTAACAGGAGTTTATTCTCTTACATTTTGGAGGCTTTAAATCCCAAGTTCAAAGTGCCATGCTCTAGGGGCTGGGTGAAAGCCCCTCAGCCTTGGGCTTCAGCTTTGCCTCCAGCTTCAGGCCCACTGAAGCTAGAGGCTTTTCTTCACTCAGACAGCTGCTGGCTGCTGAGGCTGCCAAGCCCAAGGTTGACAAGTAAAAAGGCACAGTCCCAATGTTAGCAAACCACACAGCAGGCCATAAATTCAAATCCATTATAAGTCCCCAGGTCGGCAGAGCATGGCAGGCTGCTGCACAATGGCACAGCTACATGCAGGGTCCAAGTGTGCCATATGCTAGAGACCATTCCCAGAGCTGCTGCTTAGGAAACAGACCACATCCCCAAAGCAGCTACTCAGCTGCTTGTGGTAGATCCCACCATGGAGTTGATTGCCAGTCTCATCATGGGGAATAACTACCACCAGCTGCCCAGCCATCAACCAGGCCCAGCCAAGTTGACACACAAATATAACCACCACAATCAATAAGCATTAGACATAAGCCTTGGGTTTAGATGAGGAGTCTAGCCATTGAAACTCTGACACACGTGGGGTTGCCATGCACCAGAATCAGTTGACAGCAGCTGGTTTATGTCTTCATTCTACTGTGTGCTGAATACTGGTGTGGTCACTGCAGACACAGCAGTTAATGAAACAGGAATGCCAAGATGGGTATGAGGTCGGCAGCTCTAAATAGGATGGCCAGGAAAGGCCTTACTGGGAAGGGGATATTCAAATAATGACCTGAAGGATTAGGAAGCCAATCCTGCCGATATCTAGGGGAAGAGCATTCCAGGCAGAGGGAACAAGTGCAGGAGCCTGGAGGCAGGATTGTGCCTGGTGGTGGAAAGGAGGCCAGCATGGCTGGGAGGGAGTGAGAGGGAAAAGCATAGGAGAGGAGGTCAGAGAAGTAATAGGGGCAGCAGATCATCATGTTGGGCCTTGTAGGCTGTTATGAGGATTGTGGCTTTATTCTTCTAAGAATGGGAGGTTAGGTTTTGAGCGGAAGAGTGATGTGATTTGACTGGAATGTTACAGAATTTCTACTGAACAAACTGTAAAGGACCAGGATGATGTCAAGGAAGACTGTTTAGGCGGCTGTTAGCCACAATCCAGGAATGAGATCGTGGTTCAGACCGAGAAGGCAGCATTGGAGGTGGTCCTGTTTCAAGGCATTTTGCAAATACCCAGATTGATGATTCTTGGGCTTTTAGCCTGAGCAATTAGAAACATGGAATTTCCATTTACCGATTGGGGAAGAATGGTGGAAAGAGCCACTTTTCCAGGCAGTCCAAGTGGGGTTATCAGTCACCATTAGACATATATGCCTTGGGTTCAAGTGAGCATCTGCTGGGAGGTCCCCATCCCCACAAAGAAGGACTTTTATAAGGAGCAATACTACCAATATGGGGAAGATACAGAATTTTTTATATATATATATATATATATATATATATATACACACATAAAATTATAGGTGGAGGAAATGACAGAACATCTCTATGAAGAAGTAATATTAAGCTAAGACCTGAAGGATGGGAAAGAGTCCTATACATGGAGAGTGTTCCGGTGGGGAAAGCCTATTAAAGATTCTGAAGTGGAAAACTACATGGTATATACTTGAGGAATTCAGAGGAGGCTAACATGGGTGAGTGGGAGGGTTGGAAGCAGAGGCAGGGGCCAGGTCATAAGGAGTTTGGGCTTTTTCAGGTGCAAAGGGAGCCACTGAAGTGTGTTAATAATGTGTTAGTGATAGGGGTTGTTGCTCTGGCTACTGAGTGGAAGGGTCTAAAATTAGATGGGGCCCTGAGGGTTTGGGGCTCTTGGCCAGCCATGTGGTTGTGGGGGTGAGTATTCACTCCCAACTTCTTTCAGTCCTCCTGTTGGTGCTCCTCTTGCTGGTGAGGAGGCGGCGGAAGGGCAAGGAGCCCCTCCTGCTCCCAGAAGATGATACCCGCGACAACGTCTTCTACTATGGTGAAGAAGGGGGTGGCGAGGAAGACCAGGTAAGGCATTGGGCGGTCTGAGGGTTGGGGATGGGTACCCTCAGGGCCACCGGTGGGAATGTTGGGCCTACCAGCTGACCATGTTGGCTACATTAACCAAACCCTGGTATGAAGCATCAGTTTTTATGCAGGATCAACCACCAATTCTCCTCTTTGAGAAGGTATCTGATCCACTGCTGTAGTCTCTTTGGCTCCAGCTGACCTTGAGCCTGTGCCTAATTTGGGAAGGCAGAAGAGGACAGAAACTAGGACTTCCAGAAATCACTAACATTTACCTGTCTATGTACCCAGGCATCCACCCGGTAGGGAGGTGGGGTGAGATGTAAATGATGAGGACGTGGGGAGGTTCTTTCTCAATCCAGTGCTCCATAATTTTCATAAAGGACTATGACATCACCCAACTCCACCGGGGTCTGGAGGGCCGGCCTGAGGTGGTTCTTCGCAACGATGTGGCACCAACCTTCATCCCCACACCCATGTACCGTCTGCGTCCTGCCAACCCGGATGAAATTGGCAACTTCATCATCGAGGTGAGTCACGGGGTTCGTCTAGAGTAGACAGCCTTTTAGTTCAAGCCCAGCATCCTCAGCACAAGAAAAAGAGCATGGGCTTGGGGTCTCGGCTCTGGGTTCAAATGCCGGTTCCACCGCTGTCTGAGTTTCTTGGTGCTTCTATAACAGAGATAGCACAAATGAGTGGCTTTAACACAAAGAAATTTATTTTCTAACACTTAAGAGGCTATGAGGGTCCCTGGTCTAGGGGAAGGCTTTCTCTGTCCTCTCCAGGGGAAAATCCTTCTCTTAGCTTCATTAGCATTCTTCCTGGCATTCCTGGGAGATCTCCATGTGGCATCTGTCTGTCCTCCATTGGCTTAGCTTGCCTCTGTGCCTAATCTGCTCTTTTATATTGCAAAAGTATTAAGACACACCTTACACTGATATGGCCTCATTAACATAACATAGAAAATCCTATTCCCAAATGGGATTATGTCCACAGGTATAGGGTCTGGATTTAGAACACATAGTTTGGTGGGACCCAATTTGAACCATAATACCACCAACCAGCTGTGTGACTTCTGGCATCTCCTGTAACCATCTGGGCTCCTGTTGCCACCTCTGTAAAACCTTAACTTACAGAATGGTTAAGACTAGATTAGGAACTTTCACCCAAACCACAGTAAGATGTTCCAACAAAAAAAAAAATAATCAGTAAACAAGGGTTTGAGTTTTTTAAGATCCCAGGTGATTTCCAATGTGCAGCAATTCTGGGAACCTCTGTTACAGGTTGTTTTAAGGATTGGATGAAAAAGTACAGACATACCTCGTTTTATTGTGCTTTGCACATAATGCAATTTTTTAAAAAAAAGGAAGGTTTGTGGTAAGCATGCATTGACCAAATCTATTGATATCATTTTTCCAACAGCGTGTGCCCCCTTCATGTCTCTGTGTCACATTTTTGGTAATTCTCACAATATTTCAAACTTTTTCATAATGCTTTTGCACACTCCTACAGTGTAGTGTAAAGATAACTTTTATATGCCCTGGGAAAGCAAAAAATCCATGTGACTCACTTTATTGCAGTGGTCTGAAACCACACCTGCAATATCTCCGAGGTATGTCTGGACCTAGCACAGCGCTAGGCCTCTGGCTCCCAAGCTTGCCTGTGTGTTTGGGATCACCTGGGAAACTTGGGAAAAGACTGATGCCTCTGATCTCTGGAGATTGTGATTTCCTTGATCTGGAATGTGGCCTGAGCCTTTTTTCTTTTTTTAAGGATCCCCAGGTTATTCAAGGCTGGAAACCACTGGCCTGGACAGAGCAGTTACTTGTTGTTGTTGTTGTTGTTGTTGTTATGTGCTGTCGAGTCGGCCCCGACTCATAGCGACCCCTCCTTGGGTTTCCGAGGCAGTATCACTACGGAAGTAGGATTGCCCAACCTTCCTTCCGAGGAGTGGCTGGTGGGTTTGAACCGCCAGCCTTCTGGTTAGCAGTCAAGTGCTTTAGCCACTATGCTACCAGAGGGTATGATAACTGTTATCACTAGTAGCTATCTGAGTGTCTTCAATGTAATCAACTCTGGTTGCACGTTTGATTTATCTGAGGAATTTTTTAAAACATCAGTGCCTATGACCCAGGCACCTATTTATTTATTTATTTATTTAAACTTTCCCAAGTGATTCAACTACGCTGGCAGGGTTGTGAGAACCACTGACCTGGTACATAGGTGATATATGTTAGGAGCCTCACACGGCTTGGTGTACCTAGTCAGCAATCAATGAAGGGAGGTCCTTAATAACAAAAAAAAAAAAAAAAGGAAGAAAAGTGGTTAACATTTAAAACTAGATCAATAGTGGACAGTAGTGGAGTAGTAGTGGACAGAGGACACGTTGGGCGGTCAGAGCTTCTCACCCTGACTCGAACCCCTCTGTTTTGGTCTTCACTTGAGTGAAGGGAAACTAAACTGTTTACCCTTCTTGCTTTCCAGAAATAACATGGTGGTGAGACTGTTCTTGAAGCATGACTGAGAGTTCTGTAGGAAATAAGAATTTCTTACAAACAGGAAAGTTGCTCAGGGCCTCGAGTTTAGAGAAGATACCTTAGCCTTGGAGCTAAATACCTGGGGTATTTCCTTCCAGTTAGATGAGGACAGTTTCCAGAATGTCTGCTTGTTGGGCACTTTTATAAACACTATCCCTTTTTATTCCCACATTAACTCTGGAGTAGGGGTCCTATTACCATCTTCGTACTACAGATGAGAAAATAGTGTTCAACTATATGCCAGGTACTGTTGTAATAAGAGGAGCTCTGGTGGTGCAGTGGTTAAAACATTTGGCTGTTAACAAAAAGGTTGGTGGTTCGAACCCATCAGGTACTGCACAGTTGCAGGAGAATGATGATATGGCAGTCTGCTCCGTAAAGATTGACAGCCCTGGAAACCCAATGGGGCAGTTCTGCTCTGTCGTATAGGGTCGCTAGGAGTTGGAATCGACTCAGTGGCAGTGTGATGCTTTTTTTTCTTTTCCCTTTAGATGTAATAAGTGCTTCATATATACTTATGTATATTCAGTTATTCCTCTACAAGGGTTTTGATGTACCACCCTTTTACAGATGAGGAAACAGAAGCATAGAGAGGTTAAGGGACTTGCCCAGGGTCACAAAACTAATACGTGGCTCTGTGTTCTAACTCAGGCTGTCTGATTCCAGAGTCCCTGCCTTTGGCCGCTGCCATGGGCCTGGGTTGCACCGAGCACTTGCTGTGTGCTGGGCCCTGTGCTAAGTACTTGAGATGCACTACATGCACCTCTGGAGTGTGCAACGGGTGTGCAAACAATTCACACACTTGTGTGCTAACCAAAAGGCTGGAGATTGGCGTCCACCTGGAGGTGCCTTGGAAGGGCCTGGTGATACAGTGCTGAAAAATCAGCCCCTGGAAACCCTAGGAAGCTCAGTTCTATTCTGACACATGTGGGGTTGCCATGAGTCTGAATTGACATAGCGGTAACTTTTTTCTTAACTGTGCATCTCTGAAAACCTTAAAGGAGGCAGAGATGGCCTCAGATGAGGAAAATGGAAGCTCGGCGAGGTTGGTCCACTTGCCTGAGCTCTCACAGCTGGCTAGTGCCAGAGTCCCACACTCCTAGCCTTCTGCTCTCTGTTGCCACAGAACCTGAAGACGGCTAACAGCGACCCCACGGCCCCACCCTACGACTCCCTGTTAGTGTTTGACTACGAGGGCAGCGGCTCCGAGGCTGCTTCGCTGAGCTCCCTTACCTCCTCAGCCTCGGACCAGGACCAAGATTACGATTACCTGAATGAGTGGGGCAGCCGCTTCAAGAAGCTGGCGGACATGTACGGCGGCGGCGAGGACAACTAGGCCGCCTTGTCTGCAGGTGCAAGGCCAGGAATTGAAACTCCCAGGCCACAGCACCCTTCTCCAAGGGGCCCTGGGTCGCCTCTTCTGCCAAGGACTCTGAAAGTTGTCAAGTGGCCTTAGCAACTTGGAAGGGAGAGTCCGTGAGTCTGACTGGAAAGGAGTTAGCATCTAAGCCTTTCAGAATGGAGGAATGCAAGCAGATTGACTTGAACACTGACAACCTCTCGGCCTAGATCAGGGTTGCCTTGGAGGCCGAATTTCTGGGAGTTTATCATCTGCCATAAAACTGTGGACAGGCCCTGACCCTCCTGTGATGACTTTCTCTCTGGAATGGACCCTTCTCCTTAGATGAGATCAAGTGCATTCAGGGTGATATGGCCATAGACCCTTCTCCTTAGAAAGATGCCTCTTCCTCCACCCTGATCTCATTTTTTTTTTTTTTTTTTCTTTTAAATGCTATTTTCAAATGTTAGAGGCAGGTCCTCAACCGTCCCTTGGGTCCTCCACAAACCCAGTCCACAGCTGTGGGGTTCACCTCCTCCCTGCCTCCCTCTTACCTCCAGCCCTCAGGGCCCCCCATTTCATTTGTGGATCCCTGTGTTTTTATACTGAGCGTGGCTATGCTGCCCTTTGGTTTTTATTTCTCTGTTGTGTGCTGTAGATGAAGGGTGATGACAATCGTGTAAATGGATCAGAACTTTTTTTTTATTAAAGGAACTTTTCCCATAGGTGCCAGGGGAGTGAACGCTTTAGCTTTATTAAGGCAGAATTCACATACCACACAATTCCCACATTTAAAACACCGTGCAGTGGTTTTGGCTATTTTCAGAGTTGTTCAAGGGAGATGGGACCTCTTAACCCTGCTTACTTCTCCAGTCCCTCCTGCTGACAGGATGGCTCAGGATTAGTTAACATCAACATCATGGACATAGTGAATATCACTGAACTGTCATGTGAAGACTATCAAAATGGCAAATGCTTCAACACACACACACACACACACACGAGCTCTGGTGGCATAGTGGGTAAGGCATTTGGCTGCTAACTAGATTAGCAGATTAGCAGTGCAAATCCACCAGCCATTCCATGGAAGGAAGATGGGGCGATCTACTTCCATAAAGATTTACAGCCTCGGAAACCCGATGGGGTTGCTAGGAGTTGAAATTGATTTGATGACAATGAGTTGACACACACAGATTAGTTGATACGCCCAGGTGGGCTGAAGTGGAGACAGTGCAGTGCTGGGGCAGAGGACATACCTGTCCTTCTCCCTGTAAATCCAGAGCTACTTTTCTATGTGAGAGAGCCCACCAGAGTGGCAGGTGAAGTCTTTTCTGGAACCGTGGCTGCTCCCCATGTGGTGTAGTATGTGAAGATCTCTCCTGTGCTGTGGGCTCTGTGTCAAGAGGCGGGGGTGGGGGCTGGGTAAGGTTTGGAGCCTCTGAGTGATGCAGATAGTTCACATGCTCGGCAGCCGGCTAAAAGGATGGTGACTCAAGTCTATCCAGAAGTGTATGGGAAGAAAGGCCTGGCAATCTGCTTCCAAAGGTCACAGCCACTGACTCTGTGGAGCACAGCTGTAGGCTGACACACACAGGGTTTCTGTGAGTCAGGACTGACTCGTTGGCCACTAGTTGGGTGTTTTTTTTTTTTTTTTAGAGGAGGTCAGGGGGGTGATAAATCTTCAGCCCTGCTGCTATTTAGCCAGTCACTTAACCTCTAAATGCTTCACATTCTTCATCTACAAAATGAGTTTTATAGAGATTAAACATTTGGCACATTGTACATGCTATTTGTGTTACTAACAGCTACCATTTATTTAGTACTTTTTAGGGCCAGACAGCACTTGGATTATTTCCTTGAAACAAACCTGCACAATTGCCCTCTGAAGGGATTTTCCTCCTTTGAAGAATGGCCTCATTGTATTTCTAAAATCACACCTGATCGTCCTCAAAGTTAAGCAAAACAAAATTACAAAACTCACCAAGGTTGTGGGAGACATTGAACCAGTGCTTCAACGGGTCATCCTGGTCGACCCCCTGGTGAGAATTTGCCTTTCCACCCCAGATACACTGAGTCAGAATCTACAAGTTGACAAGCTCCCCAGGTGACTCTTATGTGTACATAAAATCTTATTAACAAGTAGCTTCTGATTCAGTGTATCTGGAAAGACAGATCAGCACGGGGTTGAACTGGACTTGAACTGGTTGGAGGGCCTGCATTGAATGTTCTGATGATATCAGGGCGTGTTCACAGGGATGAAGAGGAAGCAGTCATAGAACGGTTGGTTCTATTTGTGCCTTTGTTGAAATGAAGTTTAAAATTCTCTTTGTGATTCAAAGAACCTACAGTGAGGCTGAAGATATTGCTAGAGTCGAAAAAAATGTTTCCTTCCCATGAGACTCACTCTTTCCGACAGTGGAGCTCAAAGTGCAGAGGCCCTGGGTGGTGAAAGTGATTATTAGTGTGCTCAGTTGTTAACAGAAATGTTGGAGTTTCGAGTCTACCCAGAGGCACCTTGTAAGAACGGCCTGGTGATCTACTTTTGAAAAATCAGCGATTGAAAATCCTATGGACCCCAGTTCCACGCTGACACATGGAGTCTCCATGAGTCAGAGTAGACTCCACAGCAACTAGACGCAAAGTGCTGCTCCCTGACCAGCAACATCGGTATCACCTGGCAGCTTGTTAGAAATGCAAATTCTTAGAACCACCTTAGACCTGCTGAATCAGAAACTCTTGGGGTGGGGCCCTATAATCTGTTTTAACAAACTCTCCAGGTGATGCTGAAACACATTCAAATTAAAGACCAAGGCTCTGAAGGATGAGGCCAAAGCCATCCTGAAGTCTCAGTCCTTGGATGGGAAAACAAAAGGGGATAGCCTAATTACTGTCCGAAACCACCTGACATCCTTGGTCCATAGTGCAGACCAACGCTTCCTCCTGCCTCTGCCCTCTGTCTGGCTCCTACTGCCTCAGATGCCCTTTTTCAGGGCCATGCTGCTTTTGCTGATAAGGTTGTATGGGAGGATGCAAAAAGGGCATGGAGGTGGCATCTTCTGACCTCTAACTTCATAAGAGGGAGACAGAATCACCATCAGCCCAAGACTTATTCCTAGGAGACCAGACAACCCACCACCCTCCAGCCTTTTTACCAGTTCTAACACCAGCTGTCCCTCCCACAGCACTCACTACTTCTCTGCTGGGTTCTATAATTCACCACAATGGCCACACACAACTCAACAATACTCATGATTATGGGGTTTATTAGGGAAGTAACAGGTTATAATTCTGGTTCGGGAACACTCTCAGGATACAATTCTTCAGTCAGTCACACCTCTCTGGCCCTTAGCCTCTCAGCCTGGCTTCTACCCTGCCCAGACAAGTGTTAGAAATTTCTGTTAGCTCTGCTGATAGGTACACCACAGTGGACCCCACTCCGCCAGCAAGCCTCCTGCCCAAAGGCTGAGCAGTTTTCTCGCTCTGTGGGCCAGCAAGCCCACCACTCTGGCTCGTGCCTCTTGGTTTCTGAGCCGGCCATCTCTCTGGAGGAGGTCTAGCACTGGGATCTCAGATCCAAGGACACGTTTCATTCCACCTCCGGCTCTTCTCTCTCAATGACGGTAAGATCCCCCCTTCCGCCTCTAGGAAGGCTCATTTTAACCTGGCAGAATGACAGAACTAACCAATACCCACAAGGGTGCCTTGTACCTTAGCAAGCTATCCCATCCCCTCAGTGGGCCACAAGCCTGTCACATTTGTGTAGTTCCACACAGTAATCGGGTAGGAGTCACAAAGACCATGACTAGAAAAGCCTTACCAAGTAACTCACTGCACCACAGAGGATTGGGTGCCTCAGCCAGCAAACGCTTGCTGCCTCTTCAACTCCCCCAGAGAAGCCTGAATGAGGCGTGAAACCTTATCTCCAGCTGAGGCCAATCATAAAAGCAAATAGCCACTCTTTGGGCTGCCCTTCCTCCCTGAGATGTATTTGGAGGGAGCTGAGGAAAAATGGCCTTTCAGGGCCAAGCTTGGCCTCTGTGGTGGATCTAGATTCTTCTGTTTGATGGGACTGCCACTGGCCTCCAGTGTGGAAAGAACAGGCCCAGGCTCTGTGCTGTGGGACTGTTAAGCAGCACTCTCACCTAAGACCTGCCTTCTCATCTGCAAGTTGGGAACTTAGGACTCTGGCTATTCAAGCCTGTAATAAGGAGTCAAAGTACAGCTGGTAAGCTGGAGTTCCAGGGTGGTGCAGACAGTTTAAGGCACTCAGCTGCTAACCAAAAGGTTGCAGGTTTGAGTCTACCCAGTGGTGCCTTGGGAGAAAAGCCTGTCAGTCTTCTGAAAAATAAGCTATTGAAAACCCTATAGAGGCAGTTCTACTCTGACACACATGGGGTTGCTATGAAAGAATGACTGGAGGACAAATGGTTGATTAAATCATCAGTACTAACCACTCAGAGTGGCCACTAATCCCAAATAACAGTGTGTCCTGCCAAACTAGTGAGGCCCTTCTGAAGTTTGATTTGCTAATCCTTCACATACCATGATTCTCAGTTTGTTGCCCCTTCCACCCACCCCCTTCTTTTTAACCGTCTTTGGAAGTATATAGCAGCTGAGTGTATTCTCAAAAAAAGGAGTCATTCATATATGTATAAAAGCAAACTTGATCACTCATCTTCCCACTTACATTTTACTCCCTAGGAGGAACCACTATGAACAGTTAAGCGTGCATCCTTCCAGTCTTTTCTATGCATTTACACACATTTTGTATTTATGCCTTTTCATAACAGCATTCTCATGGTTTGGGTACATATTTATTTAATCTCACCACCATCCATGGTTTTTTGCCCTTAACGGCAGGCATTGAGATAAACATCCTTGAGCACCTATTTGCAGATGCTTCCAAGCCAACCCTCCAGTTTACTAGGGATGGGTGAGGGAGAATGTGGTTGAAGCTGCCTGATACTGGGTGGAGGGTTCAAGTCTAGGATGATAGG